GCCCCCCCCGGGGGGGGGCCCCCCCCCCCCCCCCCCCCCCGGTGCTCGCTGGGGTGCTGGGGTGCCATCCTCCCTCCGCCCACTGGGTCAGACCTGACAGTTCTTCCACCCGTGGGGGAAGGTGTTAGGTGACAGGTGCAAGTGGCATATGCCAGGCCGCAGGCTCTTTGTGGCCCGTGGGGCTGTGTTTACACGTCCAACTCCTCCAGCCCTGGCTCCTTTTAAAGCCGTCTTTCACAGTGAGCTTTCATCTGTAACAGATGGAAACCTCCTCTGTTTCCTTCTTAGGAAACTGAAACAGCCGTCACTCTCTGTTAAGTCAGACATTCTGGCCGAGCCCGTGGCGCACTGGGGAGAGTGCGGCGCTGGGAGCGCAGTATTAGGCCCAGTCTCTCTCTACCTCTCTGCTCTGCTGTTCCCAGCTGTTGGCTGTCCTTGTGCTCAACACCTCAGTGTCACAGAATGGCTGCTGCGGTTCCAGCTGCTTTCAGTTCCCACATCTTTGACTAGAACTGGGTTACACGATCACCACTGGCTGCAAGGGGTGCTGGCAAAGTGAGGGACAGGAGGGGTGTGATTGGCTTAGGTGAATAAGGATGCAGGGCCACCCCAAAGAAGTTTTGCATTTTATTAGCAAGGAGCTGGGGGAATGGATCTCGAGAGGTAAATAACAGCATTTGCCGAGAGGGGAGGTTGGAAAACACTCCGTACGGAGCGATCCCATTTAGGAAAACATGTGATGTGCAGATGCGCTTAGAAAAAAGATGAAGAATTTGCAACGGTCCTCTGTGAATTGGGATTATGGATTTGCTTATTTGCTTTTGTTACTCGAGAGCAATAGTGGACACCAGAAATGGCAATCCGCACCCTTGCCCCCGCAAAATAGCCACGCCGAGGAATTGCTGTCTTGTTGGAGCCTGGCCTCGGTCCCACTGTTGGCTACGGTCTCTTGAGGACCAGTGTCAGAGCACTTTTTACATTTATACTCTGATTTTATTTCACAAATAAGAGAAAAGCAAGGGCCTCTGTGACTTATCTCCAGCTCCTCCACTGCAGAGAACAGAGAGGCTTGGTGACTTGCGCAGAGGCACACAGCCCACATGGAGCAGGTTTCCGTCTGTGGGAGCTGGCCGTGGGGAGGCCGATGGTGGCTTTATTTTTTATTTTTTCTCTTTTTGGTAGCTGGTCAGTACGGAAAACTGAACCCTTGACCTTGGTATTACAAAGCTGTGCTCTAACGATGATGGCTTTAGCAGACCAGAAGAGTAGGCCAGGGTTAGGGTAAGGTGACTTGAGAGTGAGCCCCCAGATCACACAGTTCTGGGGTCCAGTCCTACTCTTTTTCCCTCAGAAAAGAAATGTCTGAAGTCAGACGTCTCTACGGTGACCTCTTTCTTGAGTCCCTCCTGTATGAGCCAGGCCCGGACCTTCCAACTATGGAGATCCCTGTCATGACTGATCCCCCGGAGGAGCACTTTCACGCCCTGGAGGAGGACTTCGACCCCCTGGAGGACTTTGATATCATGACGTGCATTGAGGGCAGGTAGGTCCTGATGGCCCGCTGTGGGCCCCCACCACCACTCCTGGCCAGTGACTGTCAGGGGTGCGCTGGAAGAGCAGGCCTTCTGCATGAGGAAGGGCCTTCTACAGATGGCCTCCCAGGCAGGGCTGCCCAGAGGAAATTCCCTGGGCATGGTCATGGAGGCACGTGCCCACGTGGCACCCCCACGCGACTCTAGCCCCCTGTGCTTGGATGCCAGCTCGCAGAGGAACTCCTCAGCTTTTGGCCTTAGGGAGCTGGACAGGGGGCCTTCTTGACCCTGCTGACCACAGGAAGGCCCCTCAAAGGAGATGAGTCTAATTTTAGAAAACTGGCAGAGAAAGGCCCAGGAAAGGGCCTGAGGAGGCCACACAGTTCCCGGCCCTGGCCCTTAGGGCAGCGATTTTGTGAGGCACTGCTGAGGCAGGAGGAAGGGATCTTCCCGGGACCGGACAGGGCCCCTGGAGGCAGCGGGACTTGCCTGGGGTCTCAGGGTGCCTGGGGCCGGGGCAGAGGTAGGAACCCTACCCAGCCCTCTGCCAGCTGCCCCGCCTAGCCAGCCTTCCTGGTGGCAGGGGACACGCGTGTCTTTGTTCTTCCTATTGTACAGATGAGGAACGTGAAGGCCGGGAGCTACTGACCTCAGTAGCCCCCACCTGAGCTGGAAGACAACAGCCAGACACAACCAGGGCTGGTCCTTCCTGCAGCACTGACCACAGGCCCGAGGTCAGCGCCAGGGTTCTGGATGTTTCCTTTCTGCTTTAGGCCTCAGGACTCTCAGTCCTGCAAGTCCTGGACTTCGGGGTTGGGATTTTAGGGCTGCCTCCTCCTCATTCCCTGCTCCATTAGTGCATAAGGACAGGGGACGTTAAGCCTGCGGGTGTTTTCCTGAGGTCCCACAGGGTAACAGAATAGAGGTGGGACCAACCCCCCCACTGCCAGCCAGCCCTCTCCCTGAGCCCCTCCCACCCTGTCACCTCCAGAATAAGGAGCGTGGGCCCAGGGGAGACTGGCACAGGTGGGGCATCCTGGCCATGGGCCCTGAGAGGCCACCTGCCTGGGCATCCCAGCTGGCTGCCGAGTCACCGGGGAGGAATTTGTGGGTAAGCCCCTGAGAGCAGGCGGGAGCCGCAGGGAGACCTGAGTTAAGTCTTTGTGTGTGTTGGGGGAGGGGGGCGTACCTGCCCCATTTCACGCAAGGATTTGGTTTAGAGTGAGGGGCCCAGGCAGGGGCCCATAGCCCCCTCCATTCTAAGAGGGGTAATGACGACAGGGATGGTTTTAGGATAAGGGACCAGGGGACAGGTCTCAGAGCCTCTTGCCCCCCCCAAAGAAGGAGGGTAAGCTCAGACCCGTGGCAAGCCAGCCTCAGTGACTGAGGAGGCTCAGTACTCCCCAAAAGCTACCCCCCCCCATGGCCCACCGTTCCCACCAAAGCCTACCGGGTGGGCCTCTCCCAGCATTCTGCAGGGAAACTCAGGGCACCGAAGTTTTCTGTGTGTTCAGTTATCCTTGGGTGTGCAGGCAGGTTGCCATGGATCACGCAGATGCCCCAGGCACTAATGTCCCCTCACCTGCCTACCTTGGCTTAGGCTTAGACTGTATCCAGAAGCTTCTGCCCTCCCACTAGAGGCAGGTGAGAGGGGCTGGGACAGCCACCCACCTGGGCCCCTTTCCCTGGCATCTCAGGCACCCCTGTGGCATACCCAGTGGGGGAATCTTTTGACTTTTAGAGTCCACCTGTAGGTGCCTCTCAAGCAAAGTGGGAGCCAGAGGAGTGACGGGGGAAGCCCACTGCCTGCCCCAGATCTGACACTGCCCCTCACCTCTCCCTGGGCCAGTCCCGGCCTCACATGGACCTTTGGCTGGGCGGGTCTGGGTGTAAGTAGCCTCACCAGCACGACTGCTCCCCACAGAGACCAGGTGGCCCTGCGGCTGGCCTGCATCGGGGACGAGATGGACCTACGCCTCAGGAGCCCGCGCTTGGCCCAGCTGCCTGGGATGGCCATGAACAGGTAACACGCCCAGGTCAGCCAGGGCTGCTACACCTGAGGAAACCCTGGAAGGAAATGGCCCTGCCCGTCCCCTGCTCCTGTCCCCTCTCTTTCCCTGGGCAAGAGACAAAGCAGAACTCAAGGACCTTTCTCTCCTTCCTCATCAAGCCAAGACAGCACATTTTTTGGGGGGGGACCTGCTGCACCTCGCTCAGCCAGTGAGCGCTGTGAGCGCACCGGTCATCCCTATATAGGATCCGAACCCGCGGCGGGAGCGCTGCTGCGCTCTCAGCGCTGCACTCTCCCGAGTGTGCCACGGGCTCGGCCCCAAGACAGCACATTTCCAGCAGGGTCTTGTCTTAAAGGGAAATGCTGGGCGAGCTCAATCCTAGGCCCTGGAGGCGGGGGCTGTTCAGCTGGGCTCTCTGGGGAGGAAAAGGGCGGGCAGTGACCTCCTCAAGGTCCTGCAGAGTGGTGGGTTTCCTTTCCACAGACGGGCTGGCAGGCAGGTGGGGGAGGAAACAGGAAATCAGAATGAATTTCTGACCACAAACAGCCCATGGAGAGAGGCCCTCAGGGTGGAGGCGCCCAGGGGCGGGGACAAGTCCTCTGCTCCCCCCAGCAGGAAAGGCGTCAGCTGAAATCCAGGCGGTCTCTGCCCCGTCCCTGCAGTGACTTACAGTGACTTTGTCTTGCAGCCTGGCTCTGGCTCTCACCTACAACCAGACAGGCGTCAGGGGTGTTCTTGGAAGTCTTGTTGACAGTCTCAGCGACCTCAGAGAGAACATAAGAAGGTTCTGGAGATCCCAGACCCCCAGGACCTGGGTAAGAACCTTAAGAGGTCATGACTCCGACTTGCACTCCTGCCTGTGGTGGCGGTCTGGGGCTGCTGCTTAGGGCACACCCCTGGTCTGCCACAGTCCCCACCACTCCCTGTCGCCTGTGCTTCACCTGTTTCCACATCTGCCTGGGCCCACAGACCTTTGGGTTTGAGACTCCTGGTTGATGGGCCGGGCGAATGCATGAATCTGAGAGCACAAACCAATGGAAGCACGTCCCTGTGTCTCCCTCTGCTGGTGACAGGACTCTCCTGCCCAGCACAGATGCCTCCTCTCCCAAGCAGCTCTCATGCCGCCCACTCCCCACCGCCCACCACCAGGGCAGGTGACTGTCCCTCAGCTGTGTTTGCCCAGTGTTCTCACCTGCATCCCAGCAGGCTGGCAGCCCCCTGGCCGGGCCAGCCTCCCCTTTTCTGCCATGTCCTTAGGGCCACTGTCCTCTCCCCTGTCCTGAACTCCTGCACTCTGTGGGCTCACCTTATCATGGACTCCTCCAGTCTGGTGAGGCACCTGGGCTTCCCCTTTGCCACCCTGTGCTCGCCCAGCTCAACCCCAAGGCCCCAGGGCCCCTGGAGCCTGCTGGCTCATGCTGCTCACTCTCGGTCCCGCAGGTGCTGCTGCCTGGGCTGCTGCTGCTGCTGCTGCTGCTGCTGCTCCTGCCCCAGTGAGGCCTGCGGGCGGGTGGCGGGGCGGGGCTGGTCCCTGCCCCTTGGCCACCGCCCTGGAGGGGCAGGCGGCCTTGTTGGTTTTGTTGTCTTTTTAACTGGTGTTTCCTGAAGATCCCTTTTTTTATATTTAAACTCTAAGATAGTGCTGGGACACTGCAGAGTTTTCGTTGTTGTTGGGTTTTGTTGAGTTTTGTTTTTTGTAAGACAAATGAAATCATTATACCTCTGGGGTTGTTACTGGTTAACTGCCCTGTTCGGAGGCCCGGCTGGCCTGCTCTCCTTCTGCCCCTGGCCATGCTGTGAGACGGCCTGTCCCTGAGAAGGAGCCTTCCTGTGGGTTGGTCACATGGCAGGCAGCGGGGGGAGTGCTGGTCACACCCCTGTGTCTGATGCCCGTGGCAGAGAATCTACTGGAATAGATTTCTGAGGGGTGGACAGAGCTCAATAAATGTTGGTTTCCAGCCGGTCTCTGGTTCTCTCTGGGGTTTGCAGCATCAGCGTGGGCTCCATCTTGCCTCGGGGAGGCAGTTCATGGGGAGGGGTGGGGCATGCGCCTAGTCACCTCCCAGCCTCCTCCCTGCACCTGAGGACCACAAATGCTGTTTTGGGGTTTGGTGCGGGGGGTTGCAAGGTTTGCCCCACCTTGTCACGCCCTGGTGCCTGAAATCCACTGGTAGGGATTATTTCTTTGGGGCCTACAGTGCCTCTTATAACGGGGATGTCTGTCCCCCTACCCCCACGTCTGCCCCCTGCTGGAGGGGTGCAGCATGGCTCTGCTCACAGAGGAGGAGTGTGGTGGGGAGGGGTGTGGGGCTAAGGCAGGAGGGCCAGGCCTTGGCCCAGTGCTATTTTTCGACCCCACACAGGCTCCTCTCCCAGAACTTAGGCTCTGGGTCTCCCGCCCCACCTCAAATGCCAGCCTGGGCTGGGCCCGCCACTAGCCTCCAGGTCCTCCCGCCACCAGCACTGTTTACAGCCTCATCCTGCTTCCCGTCCAGGCCCTTTATGTTCCCTGCTGCTCTAGGCTGGCGAGGCTGCCCCGCACCCTCAGCCAGGCCAGATCAGGCCACCCCTGTCCCTGCATCCTGCCCTCTCCCACCTGCACCTCTAGCCTCAAAACTGAAGGAGACCCTTTGGCCCCCACCTGGTCTCTTTCCTGCCTCCCTGTGCTGCAGCTCCCCAAGTCCAGCCTTCACAGCGTTGAGAACTGCCTTTGTCCCCTTTGTCTTTGCTGTTTACCTTGTCACCCATCTCAGAGCCAACTATGTGGGACCCTCTCAAAACCGCACAGGGAGAGCCCAGAGCCACTCAATTCCCAGGGCCTGGGCCCCTAATGCCCCACTCCACCAGGACAGGGTGCTCTCTCTACCCCAGATACCCTGTCCCCAACAAGGCTATAGACTTGGAAGTGATCCCAGGGTTCACCCAGCATGGATACCCAAGGCCCTGGGGACCCCAATGCAGAATCAGCGTGGCTAGGGAAATGGCAAGGCCAAACCAGAGGCCCCTCTTCCAGGAAGCTCTCCCTGACCACCCACCTCCCAGCACTCTTTCTCTTGAGCTCTTGGGATAAGCTACCTGCTGATCGTGTACCCACCATGGACTTGGCCAGGGGTGTCTGTGGCTTTTCCTCACAAGGAGCCTGGGGATCTTCATCAGAAGAAGGAACAGAAACACACCCCAAGGTGCAGCCGATGATGACCAAGCCACGTCCCCCAAAGGGCGGCCTCTCCCTGCAGGAGTTGGGGACACCATCTCCATGATTGTCCTGCCCCGTGCTGCAGTTTGCAAAGTTCTTTCCACCCATGGGTATCAGCAGAGTCCCCCGCTGTGCTAGGCTCTGTCCTAGCTTCTGGAGATGTGATAAAGACATGGTTAGGGGCTCAGATCTCACAGTCTTGTTGGGGAAGCAAAAAACACATGGGTAAGCTAAGTTGGGGTATTGGGGATGTGTTCTGAAGCAAGCAAGGAGCTGAGGAAGTGGCGGGTGGAGGGGATGGACAGTGAAGAACAGGCCTCTGAGGAGGGGCCAGCTCTGGAGAAGATGGGGGGGCATCATGACTGGGGGAGCAGCATGTGCAAAGGCCCTGGGGTGGAGGCAGGCTAGCGGAATGCCAGCACTGAAAGGCCTGTGGCTGCGGGGTGTGCTGGCTGAGGAGACCAGCTGCAGGGTCAGGCCTCCGGGGCAGCCTGCGGCCCTCCTCTCCTTGTGGCCCATAACTTCTCCAGGAAGGCTGTGGGCTGGAGGTGTCAGATACTAGAAGCTCTGCCCTGAAGGAGAAGGGGAGGGGCCAGCGCTGGAGAAGGTGGGGGGGGCATCATGACTGGGGGAGCAGCATGTGCAAAGGCCCTGGGGTGGAGGCAGGCTAGCGGAATGCCAGCACTGAAAGGCCTGTGGCTGCGGGGTGTGCTGGCTGAGGAGACCAGCTGCAGGGTCAGGCCTCCGGGGCAGCCTGCGGCCCTCCTCTCCTTGTGGCCCATAACTTCTCCAGGAAGGCTGTGGGCTGGAGGTGTCAGATACTAGAAGCTCTGCCCTGAAGGAGAAGGGAGGTGAGAAGAGGCCTTCCCCGCCTGGGCAGGGAGGAGAAGGCTGCGGCCCACCTCGGGCCAGCGTCTTGCCCATGTTCTATCAACCTCATGGCCTTGAGCCCCACCCCCACAGCTGTGGCCTCCACACCTGTGGCAGCAGACCCTCATTCTCACCAGCTCCAGACAGGCCACCCTACAAGTGGGAAACCAGGGCCAGCAAGGTAAGGGAATTGATTGAGGTGCCCCAGGCACATGGTAAGAGGCTAAGCCAGGCCTGGATAAGAGCAGGATCCTCCAATCCTGATCCAACTGGGATCCTCTGGCCACCATGGTCATCCAGTCCAGCCTCCGTCAGGCAGATGAGGACAGAGGCCCACGGACGGGAAGGGGCTTTGGCGCTTGTCCCATTTCTAGGTAGTGGCTCCAGATCCTGACCTGCTTCCCTCAGCAGAGATGTTCAGCCAGCCTGGAGGTGGCAGCAGGGGTGCTGCTCAGGGAGGGCGGGGCACGTGGTAAGTACGGGGGGCACAGGGCCATTCTTGAGGCCTGAGACCGGTGGGCTCATGCGTAAGCAGTGAGGGTTGGAAGGCCAGCCCTGCGGAGGTGACAGCACAGAGTCTGATGCCAGGAGGCGCTCAGGACAAGTTGAACAACATTACCCTTAATAAAAGAGCAGGAGGGGCCGGCCCGGTGGTGCACTGCTGCAGTGCGCCGCTTGGAAGTGCGGCGGCGCTCCCGCCAAGGGTTCGGATCCCACATACAGACCGGCTGCTCACTGGCTGAGCGAGGTGCGGGTGCAACACCGAGGGTTGTGATCCCATTGCTGGTCACGAAAAAAGACAAAAAGGAAAAAATAAATAAATAAATAAAAGAGCAGGAGGAGAAAGTGCCTGGGCAGACAGACTTCTAGCAGCCCAAACTGGACACAGGTGAGGGGCCTTCGCCGTTGCTGCAGGTGCAGTCACGTGGTGGCGTGAGGAGGCTCCCAGCCCGGCTCCTGCCCCGCCCTCTCCCTGCTGGTGGTCTTGACATCCTCCCTGGCCATGGACGCCCTTGAGGGTCACCCCTGTTCAACCCCACTGACCAAAGCACCAGAGACGCATCCGGAGTTAGGCAGATTTATGAGCTTGCTGTGGAGGGATTGCAGGCGCCTCAGGAAGAGGAGTGGGGCTGGCCCTGGATGGACGCCACGGGGGAGGGTTCAGGCCAGACGAGGGTGGGTGGTCGCCGCGGCCGGTCTGTCTGCTCGGGGAGGGGCTGTTAGTCGCTGGGTGTGTGTGGCCCTGCCCCGCACTGCTGGTGCTTGCAGTCTGTGCTGGCGCCTGTCGATGGCCACAGCAGGGCTGGGCCACTTTCTCTGCCTCGCCAGTCAGTGCTGGCTCCCCTCCGTCCCCGCCTGCCCCATACCTCACACGGACCCCTCCCCTGCATGGAGGAAGTTCTCCATAAATGTTCAGAAAAGCAGAGGCCGCTGTTTTGGGTTCTGCTGTCTCAAGGCAGTAAATTTAAACCCCAGAGCCAGGCCAAAGCCCCAGGCCGCCTGTGCTAGGTCGCCAGAGTCTCCTGAGGTGAGACGGGCTTTAATCTCTGAGTCAACAGCAATACTAGGAGTCACTCCTCAACCCCGAAAAGGGGAGGACCAGAGGCCTGTCCCTCCCAGGAAGGGGCAGAGGTGACATTTTGTCACCTGGGGCACCGTGATTCCTAAAGACTCTCCACATTACATTCTGCTGCCACAACAGCAGCAGCCCTGAGGCAGTCCTAGGCCACACAGGGTAGATGGCACAGACCCTAGCCTGGGGATTGACACTAGGCCTGATGGGGTGGAGGCCATTTGGGGGCAGTGGAGCAACTTTCCACAGGAGGCGACAAGGCTGTGGGGGCACAAAGGGCCCATCATGTGTGCTGCACCAGACCAGACTGACCCCACACTTCCTTGGCACAGTGTGTGCCCATGACTGCCCTTGGTCTAGGCCTGTGGGCAAGTGGTCTCAGAAAAAAGATGAAGTTATCTTTGTCCATTTCAAATGCTTCTGAACAAAACTTCTGGCCGGGTCAGAATATTTGGAGACTGAGTCTCTTAGAAAGTGCCCAGGGAGACCTGTCCCTGCCAGGCAGGAGCAGTGCCCCAATCCCAGGCAGACCTGGAGAAACCTAAGGTAGCAGAATTCCACCAGGACCCCCCCAAGCAACAGGACATAGGACCTACCATGGCCTTCCAGACCCTCACTCCAGCACTCCAGGCTCCCCCGATGACCCCCTCTCTGCCCTGAGCCTGCTACTCTGTCCAGATCCAAAGTCCACAGGAGCAGGGGAAGGGCCTGCCTGCCCCAGCCTCCGGCTCGTGTAGTGGGAGGTGGAACCCTGCCTGCCCCCACCTTTGGGTTACCTGCTGGGCAGCCCTTGTACTGCAGGCAGAGATGTTGACAGCTTCCAAGAGTCTCCCTTAAGGCAGCACCATATGCTCTTGGCTTGCTGTTCCTTCCCCCTTCCTGCAGCTTAGAAGATGGATCCGATAGCACCAGGCCAGACCAGGAGAAAAGGGCCCTGCCCAGGCAGCAGTAAGGCCCCCTGCTCGGACTACCCGCCTAGGTTCTCAGGGCAAAGAGGAAACCCCCACACCCGCTGCAGCTCCTTTATTAGGGACTTTGCTCCTCAGAGCTGAACGTGACCCTAATATCCCACCTGCCTGCAGCGCTGCCAGAGACCCCAGGCCTGGGCTGTGAAGAGCTCGCGGCTCCAAGGCTGCCCTCACTTCAAGCACTCAGGGAGGGGTTCGAGCAGACTCAGTGAGTATGTAAAAATAATAATGAAGTCCTTTGTGCAATAGTTTTATGAAATAGTTCCTTCTAAAGTACTGTGCTCCAAACAGCACTCACTTGGGTTGTGGTGAGAAGCGTGTTCCATGTCAGCATCTGTAGTGGTTCTCGGC